TGTGTGTGCAGGAGGGTGAGTGTGAGTAGAAGGGTGAGGGTGAGCAGGAAGTTGAAGGTGAGTGTGTGCAGGAGGGTGAGTGTGCGCAGGAGAATGGAGGTGAGCAGGAGAGTGAACAGGAGGAGAGTGACCGTGAGCTGGAGTATGAGAGTGAGCAGGAGGGCGAAGGGAGCATGAGCATGCGCGGGCCCCTCACCGTGAACAGTGTATCCCAGAGCATCTGCCAGAGAAGGGTGAGGGTGAGCAGGAAGTTGAAGGTGAGTGTGTGCAGGAGGGTGAGTGTGCGCAGGAGAATGGAGGTGAGCAGGAGAGTGAACAGGAGGAGAGTGACCGTGAGCTGGAGTATGAGAGTGAGCAGGAGGGCGAAGGGAGCATGAGCATGCGCGGGCCCCTCACCGTGAACAGTGTATCCCAGAGCATCTGCCAGCTGCTGGGCTGTGTTCCCTTGGGCTCCGAACTGCAGGATCTCCATGGGGAGGGACACACCAGCGGGAGAGATGATGAGGTTGGTGCCATTTCTGCCGGCTGCCACGCTCTGGTAGAGGTGCAGGGCAAACTCGGTCCTCAGTAACGGCAGGCCTTCTGGGAGGTGGCCAAGCCCCGAGGGGAAGCAGGCATGAAGGAGGAAGATGCTGACCAGAAGAGGCAACATGGAGGCTGAGAAGGTCCCTGCAATTCAAAGGAAGAGATGTAGGGAGAGGCAGGATGTGATGAAAGAGGGTGACATCCCACAGAGAATGGGACACTGGCTCTGTTGGGGGGCTGGAATGGCTGCCTTGTCACCCACCCCAATCCCACCCTCCAGGCTGAATTCCTATATCTTGTTTGGCCAGCATTAGGAACACTCTCTAGGATCTTTTGAAGGCCAAACTGTGGGACAGAAGGCCTGCTTCTACCATTTACTCGGTGTATGACCTTAGCAAGGCCCTGATCAGATCACAAGCAAACCATCATGCTAGAAAAAGAAATTAAGAAATACATCCTATTCACTTTTCCTGGTATTCAGTCAACTTAAAGCTGTGCAGTATCTATCATAAATAATAATAATAAATAATTCTCTAAATAATTATCCGAAGGACTTTGTACATTCCCAGTTAGTCATTCCAGTAATCTCACCACAATAGGTCTAGCCATTATTCTGTTTCAAGCACAGTGATGATGATTAAGGTTTAGAGGCTCCATGACACATTTATTATATTGTCAAAAAAGTCATGATGTTTTTTTCTATGCAAAAATGCATCATGACTTTTCTGACGACCCAATATATGGGGAAGAAATAGGTTTCAACTCAAATCCTGGTTGTATTTGAGTGGTATATAAAATACTGAGAATATATGTATGAAATATTGAAATATTGATACATGAGCTAATTGTGCCTAGACTATCAAAATTCTTGTGACGTGACTTATTCTTATAGGAAAGAATGCTTTGCAGAGAGAAGAATTATATAAAGATAGTTCTTATCCACAGAAACATAGTCTTCTGAGAGATAGACAACGTTAGCTAGAAATTAACGCAAGAGGTAGACAAAGCAAAAATGTTTTCAATTAATATGCCATGCTATAGCCAGTAGCAACTTTTGCTAGATTGTCTAGCTCTGGTATCAAACCAATGTGAGAGAGGCCCAGTCCAAAGCCACTTCTTATAGAAGTTTACAAGCAAGGTCACTGGGTTGAGGGTGTACGGTTTAGATAAAGGTCCAATATAGAAAAGCATCCTCCTTTTTCCAACCCTTTCTTCTTGCAGCCAAGCACAAGTGCAGTGCTCACATGACCTTGATACCTATGTACATGTGTGTTTGTGTGTGTGCATGCACATGTTTGGAGGGAGTGGGACCCAGCTCAGACTCATCTGTGTGAACTTCAAGTCCCAGAACCCTAGTAACTGCCAACGCCTCCCACAAACAGATGCTCAGCAATCAGACCTCAGTGCCTCAGATCCATTCACCTGCCAGAGTTCACCTGGACGAGCTGCTTACTCACGTTCTCTTGGATCAAACTGTTGCGCACTCTTGCTTGAATCTCTTCTTGTGGGTCTCCAGCCTTAATGTGCTCCCTTTTTAAAAAGTGGAGCAGAATCTGCTTTGAATCACAAGACAGCACAGGGAGGAAGCTGGCGATTGCCGTCTCTGCCGGCGATGTCTCTACCACTCGGTCCAAATTCCTGGAGCCTGGAGGTCCTGCAGAGAGCCAGGAGAAGCAGCCCAGCCCTGGGCAGCAAAGCCCAGAGTGGGGCCCTGGGGACGGAGCCAGTCACACTCGTCAAGCCTTCTTAGGCTTGTGACCTGGTTGTACCAGCAAGGAACCCCTCATCCAGCCCTTTGTCACTTTGAGGAATTCCACTGATAACTCTGTGGCCGGCTTTTGCTGGGTACCAGGTACCTAACGTTTCTCCCTCCTCCGTGAAGGGAACAATAAATCAGTCATTGGGCATGACTTGAAACTTTTAGCAAATGAAGTCCTGTAACAGAGAAAGAAAATCATGCAAGATACGGCATACTCAGTTTGGAACAGGGTGACTTATCTTCTTTATTAATAAAAATGAGTGCACCTGTTTATTTCCCTGTAATAGAAGCACTATTGACAATCTTGTTCTCCTCAGATACAACAATTATTAAGTTCGATAACTCAATTTGAGAAAGAGATCATGTTGTCAACAAGTAAATGTATGCTTTTGGAAAGTATAAGCAGGTTCTCTCGTTAGTCTGGTTTTTTGTTTGTTTGTTTGTTTTTTGTTTTTTAAGAGGTTTTTGCTATAGGGCGCATGTGCTCGCCAGAAAGACAGAGAGGGACAGAGAGACAGAAAACGAGAAATCATGCCTCAGGGGGGATGGCCACGCCACAATCCCTTCTCCTCCATTCTCCTCTTGGGATCTTGGGCATGCACACATATGTGCCCAGCGTGAGTTTAAGCCACTGGGTCTGGGACTCGAACTGTGGTCAACTACATGGGAGTCCAGCGACATAGACATTACGTTAACTGCAGGTCCCTTGTAAGTCTGTTCTTATGACCAATTCAGAATTACATACATTTCTTCTAAGGTATCTTAGGCATTCTATTAAGTTTGAATAGATGATAAGTTATTTGTTGTTAAAGATTAAAGAAAGAAGAAGGTATTGGGAAATGAATGCAGTTTTTTCTTTTCTTTTCTTTTCTTTTTTTTTTTTTTTTTTTGAGAGGTTTTTTGCTATAGGGTGAGTGCGCTCACCAGAAAGACAGAGAGACAGAGAGATAGCGAGAAATCACCCCCCAGGGGAGATGGCCACACCACAATCCCTTCTCCATTCTCCTCTTGGGATCTTGGGCATGAACACACACGCGTCTGGCATGAGTTTTAAGCGACCGGGTCCGGGATGCGAACCGCAGTCGACTACATGGGAGTCCAGCAACATAGCCATTATGCTAACTGCTGGTCCCATGAATGCAGTTTTTAGTAATTGTCTCTCATACATCTGGTAGTATTAATTTTTTTAAATGAATGGACTATTTTTCACCTGATAAATACCCATGCCCCTATAATCAATGAGTAATTCACTCCAAATCAGTTTTATGGCTGTACCCAAGCCTGAGGTTTATAGGTCGTAGGGTAGTTACAGTTCTAAAATTGTTTCACATGAACTCTCCCCAAGTCTTTAGTTTAGATGTAAGTTCATTATTGCATGCCTTGCACTCTGTCGTAGTAATAATAGAATAGGTATGTTTGACTATAGCACCCAACAAAGGCTTATCATCTTTCCATCCATCCAATAAATAGCTCCTGATGGTCTGCTAGTTTCCAAGGCTGTGTCTTGTTCACTGAGTGCATACTTGAGATGATGATGTTGATGGGGTTAAGAAGAAAGAGCCAGGGGCCAGGTGGTGGTGTGGCGGTAACACAGCTGGATTGTCTTGCAAAAGGTCCTGGGTTCACATCCTGAGACCTCCCTGAGTACTCTAGGCATGCTTGAGGGCCTCTGATCCCAGCTGGCTAAGACAGGGCATAGATCACAAGTGAAAACCCTATTGGGAGTACCTGTATCTTTGTATCTCTGTCTCTTTGTAGCTCTGTCTCATGGGGAAAAAGTAAACTTTAAAAAAAAAGGGAAAAGAAAAAATAATGCGTGAGGGCTGTCTCACAACATTGAGTTCACTGTGGCTGGAATTATTTGAGTAGAAGCCAATTTATTATTTGCCAGTGGTAGAGGCGGAGATGCTTATAAAATGAATTCTCAAATTACTGGGCTGTGTAACTTCTGTGAGCATTTTTTCCTATCTTTAATTATGTACCATTCTAAATTGCCTTTTTTTTTAAAGGTTAATTTCTTCTTTTAACTAGAGAAAAAAATAGAGAAAATAGGATACCTTGAATAGAGTGTCACAGTTCCTCCATGCCTTCCAGCCAGCTAGTGTGCTCCTGTGGCACAGCTGGTGTGTGCAGGTTGTGACCCAGGATGTGAACCTGGTGTGATGTAGGATGTGAACCCAGGGCTTGACCATATGGTTGAATATTGTACAACACTGCCTTGTACTACTGCAGGTAGGCCCTAAATTGCAGTTAAAAAAATATTCTCAAGAAAAAATGCTAAAGAAACTTAATATACAATACATTTATGTAATACATTTTTCCTATATTGTTAAACATCTCAAAGTGCGAATGAATGAAAGATGAACAGTACGTCTTTTCTTTTGTGTACTCAGCTGTGAACCTAGGTATATCACTACGGTCTCTGAACACTTAAGCAGAGATTATTATATTTGTTTCCACCTTGCTGGGATAGATATTAGTTATCCTGCTAAAGGAGGCTCCTTTCTTAGGAACATTTATTCATAGTTATAACAACAAAAATAGTAAACATTACTGAGCACTTGCTGTGTTCTAGGTACTCGGTTAGATTCACAATTGCAATGAATATTCACAACAATCCTATGAGAAAGATATTATCATCGCCATTTTACTTATGAATGAAGATAGTAAGGCTTAAAAGAGCATAAGAAGGGCCAGCAGATGGCATAATGGTTAAGGCGCAGACTCACACCTGGTTGAAAACAGTTCAAACCCTGGACCTGGTGACTTGAAACTCATGCTGGGCACATGTGCATGTGTGCCCAAAATCCTGAGAGGAGAATGGATTGCAGTGTGGCCATTTCTACTAGGGGATGATTTCTTGCTTTCTGCTTCTCTGTCTTCTGGCGAGCACACATACCCTATCGCAAAACAAATTGATTAATTAATTAATTAATTAATAAACCTCAAAAGCAAAAACAAAAAATCCTTAAGCTATTTGCCCAAGGACCCACAAAACCAAACTGGGGTTTGAATCTCGACTCCAAGACTCATGTTCTTCATCACAGTCCTGGAAATGTCTGTCAAAAGCTAAGGTAAGGGATCTCTTGAAGTCCCTCTTGACTGTGGGATTCTAAGACATTTGGTAGCCAGACTAGACTTCATTTGTTGACTACATGTGCCCACTCTACTGCATTTACCAGGAAGACTATAATGAGTCACTTATAGACAGATTATGCTGCCTTTTATATTGTGATTCTTAATATTTCACTGACTGATTTCTTGTAGGCATAAGCAAATCACTTTCAGACCCAGAGGTCTACCAAACTGATATGGATACAAGCATTGCATTTCATTCTGTTAGCTCACAATAAAAATACAGACAGCCC